GGGGGCACATATTTATATATTCGTGTTCACATACCATAAAAACAATTGATTTCAAAAGAAATTAATAAAGCAGAACACGAATATATGAATATGTGCCCCCCCAAAAAAATTATCTTCTGGCTACGGCCCTGATTGATAGACAGTTGTTAATTAGTAAATTCATGCTCATGTGAGTAAAATATCTTGTAAGATGCAAGTTCCAAATTGCTATTTCTTCGCTTGTTGAGTATAATGCAAAAATACTTACCGACTGACTTGCATTTTGGGCGGCGGCTTTGCTGGCATTTTGGATTGCCTCTTGTGCATGTTGGAAATTATCGACAAATGCCTAAAACATATGAGAAAATTAATAAAATACTCGACTGGGATAAGGGATGATGAACATGATCCTTGCTGGACCTCTAGGAAGAACCGATCGAGCAATTCACTATAAATAAAGGTAGTTTAGTTTCCACCGGTAGTACTAACACCGGATCAATAAATGCTGAACGTACCAATAAATCGCTGACAAAGCGGTTCAAGAATATCACTCGAATTCGCCCGACATTCATCAAGAACTTGGTGTCAACTCTCTCCATGTTGCCATAATTGTCTCCCTCTGTCGCATCGTTGAATATCACCAACTGAAAAGTATCAAAGTAAAAAGTTAACATTCAAATTTTAGGTTTTGCTGTAATTGTGTGAAGTGAAATAAGAAAACCTTACCTCAACATTGAAAACTTCTTCGTTGACAATTGCGACAATCTTAGATGATGAAAAAAAAGATATGTGGATCAAATTTCATGATAGAGTACAAAGCGAAACACAAATAAAATATAATCAAAAACCCCAAGATAGAGTCGAAAACAAGAGAGAATGATAACATGGCAGTAAAGTGAATAGAACATAATTTTATACGAATTTTATATGGTTGAAACCATTCAGGTATATTACTTTGTATTACAAAATATGTTACTTTTTTGTACGGACAGAAACCTATTTTTTCTTCAGCACTACTTTACCTTTGGATAACGAGCGTCCGCTACACCGTCCAACACTGAGAAATCTTGCATTCTGAAGAGCAAAAGAAGCAAAGTTTTATGGTTTCAGTTTGGTCTGAATAAGAATAGTTGGCCGTTTGCAAGATGAAGTGGAACAAAATGCAGATACACTAAATCTAACCTTGCCACGACGGTAATTCTGTCTGCTAATATAGACACCCCGGCTTCAAGTTCTATATAATGTGGAAAAACATTAAGCTACTCATATCACTTTCACAAGTGGTACTGCATTGCTTCTGTACACTGAGGCCGGTTTCAAACGTCGCGCTTCTCATCTGTCGAACGTATTAAAAACAATACATAATCAATTGAAATGCCTCGTTATCTATTGTTTCTATGATGCGTTCGGCACATGAGAAGCGTGACGTTTGAAACAGGAATGAGTTCGGGACACACAATAATAATGTCACTACTAATGTCGACCAAGGCTCTCAAAACAAGCTGGCGAGTGTTATAAGGTTTTTGGGGCCGATTACATGGAGCATTTTCAACCCCGGGGTTGAACTCAGCCCTGTTAACCGGGTTTACGGTTTGCGATTACATGGACGATTTCAACCCCGGGGTTAAAACGTTATACTATACGTTCTCGGCATCGATTCGCGGAAGTAAAAAAGCCTTTATTTTGTTTTCTTGTAATAAATAGTCACTACCACGCATGCTCGAATAACTCATGATAATTTCAGCCCTGGGTTGAAACGATTGCATGACAAAATTTTAACCAGGCTGAAGCAGGGTTGAAATTTCAACCCCGGGGTTGAACTCAGCCCTGGGTTGAAAATTTGTCATGTAATCGCGCGTTTGATTTTGATAGAGTTTTGTATTACAGACAGGGCTGAAATTTCAACCCGGTAAACAGGGGTTGAAAATGCTCCATGTACTCGGCCCCTAACCAACTGATCGATATCTTCACTAGTGAAGATATGGAAAATATCTCACTGTGTATTTTTCAGTATCTCACTCTCTACTATATAATAAATACTATTATTGAATGTAGCTACATGGGGTTTTAGTGGAATTTTCGAACGAGAATTTATATACAATTTTAGACTAAAGAGGGAGCAGCTGCGAAAAACGCACCTTTATTAAGACCTCCGCCAGGGACGGATAAAATTTTCATTCGAAAATTCCATCAACTAACAACCCACTAACCTATCTGCCCATTCAGTTCCATCCAGCGACATGCCCAAAATCTTGACATATTACAGTATTCAATATTTCAGTCATTATAAGGAATGGCAAAATAGTTTCTTTATTTTCTCATCTGAAAGAACTTTTGAAACTATACATTAATTTCTTACCGATTTTCATATCTTGCTTAGTTCTTGAAATATTTTCACTTGAAGTAATGACATGTCCGCCACATGGGCGGATTTACCGGGAAAGTTAGGGTGGTTAAACCCCCCTAGAATCTCTCTAATCCCTCTTATAAAGTGTTCAACCAAACCAAAATTTCGCTTCACCCCTCCTATTTTGTGTGAAAGTCTTTAACCCTAATGCTGCATGTAACCCCTGCTGAAGCTTGCTCAGTGCATGGTGCTGCTTGCACCCCATTAGAAATTTTTTCACCCCTTAATTCTTTAAAAAAAATGAAAATCCACCCTTGGTCCGCCATAGTTTTGGTGACACCACAACAGGGATTAACCATATAAAAGTATTCGTTGCTGACCAAATGTTGATTGGTAGATGTTTTAAAGGTTTTGAGTGATCTTGATATTTTGAAGGGCAGACAGAGTATAGTTTTGAGTGCAAAATGATTAGTGGTTGTCTAGATAAAAATATTGCGCGATCCCTGTTGCGACGTGACATGCACATCTACAAAAATTGAAGATGCGGCGTACATTTCATTCCTTTTGATCAAATTATTTGTAGAAGTAAGCAAGATATGAAAAAAACCGTTAAAGAGTACAATACATAGTCTCAAAAGTTCTTTCAAATGAGAAAATAAAAAAATATATTGCCATTTCCCTTTAAGCACAATACTATACCTTCAATCTTGAGTTGGTCAGTTTCCTTTAAACTCAAAGGTATTTCTAAATGTTTCAGATAACTATCACTATACCATACTAAGAGTTCCTCGCCAACACCGATTTCACAGAAAGAACGGTAGTAAATATTTTGGCCACATTGATAAGCTGCCATGTTTTGTTCCTTTCTGTTCCTTGCACAACGTATGAACCTCATCCAACTTGAAGAGTTCTCGTCGCTACCGTCGATAAAATGCGAAAAATTTCCCTCGGTGTAAATCTGGAATGGAAATATAAGCAAGACATTTATTCAGTAAGTACTGAATGGGCATCTCGACAGAACCAAATGTTGATTGATGTTTGAATAGATGGTAATTTCAACTCGAGCAAAATTTATCTATTTATTGTTCGGCAATGCACACTGTATCTCAGTGGTAAGAGCGCTGCACACGTAAGGTTGATTAGCACCCCTCCCCCCCCCACTTACTTAATTTACTAATTTTAAACAAAATAAGTTGTCGAACCTCCCACAAATAGTCTTGGTTTTCACAGGAACCATTCCGCTGGTCAAAAGTTCGTTGTCCTTCATAAGGCCCAATCCATGTTCCTGAAGGCAGATGTCGTCGTGCGCAAGCTCCGTAGATATAACCCGGTATACTTGACGTACACAACTGTACCTCATCAGGAAACGACATCACTGCATAGGTTGCTTTGATGCTGCCGCCTTTCCCATGATCCTCTGCGTGAACTAAGTGATGTAATGATTGCAAAGGAGCATGGGTAGAACATTTTCCCTCTTTTTGAGCCAAACATACGTCGCAAGCTAAAAGCAATACACAAATGGTAAAAACTGCACGAGAACACACCATACTGTCCACCTTTCAGTTTAATGAACAAAACATCAATTTAATGATTAAAACAACCATATTAAAGATGCGGTACAGTCCGATCTGCGCATGTGCACAAAGGAGCCCTCTTTTTATTTTCAAACAGTTTATTTAGGTTTTTATTTCATTTTATGTTCTTGCAAAGCTTGATTGTTGTCTCTTCTTTATTTATTATACTCTAGAATCATGAAAATATAAATAGTTGTCGAATGAAATTCAATATTTTGGATACCGAAATGTAAACAAAGCCTTTGTTTACATACGGACTTTACCGCATCTTTAACAAAATTAATAATAACAATTAATTTCCTTAAAAATTAAAATTTGGAAACTTAAGTTAGTGAAAGTTACTGAACACAGTTTTCGAGAGTTAAAAGCGTTTTATATTCATCCGTTGGAGGGACAGCTAGTTAGTTAATTAAATTGGATTGAGTTTAGAAAAAGTGATCCTCCCCTCGCCATTCGTGCAGGCTGCGCATTCATTTGCAGATCATCTTTCAGCAAAAGCCGATGCACTGCTCAATGGTAATTTAGGTGAGAAAGGTTACATTTTCACCAAGTCCGCAATCTAGTACCCAGAGTATTACTGTTCGCAGGTTAGGTCGTGCCCACCACCCAACCTGTAAACGGGCATACTTTGAACGAAATTTCACACGATTTATAAATGACTACATTGTATAAAATTAATTAAAAATAAAATTCAAAATTACTAATAAAGTACTTTGCCAAACTATCTTAATAGCTTCTTTCTTAGAGATATTTAACGGTGGCATACAAATTATCCTCACTATGATGTCAAATTGCATAGTGCTTTCTAAGAAAACAACTTTTATAACTCTTACAGATAATTGATTTCAAATTTGTCGACATGTCGATGTTGTCCCAAGGGCTTGAAGTTTTTTTGGAAAGTCATTATGCAATGTGACGTCATAGTGAGGATAATGTGCTTGTCAAGAATTGTTAAATATCTCAAGAACGAAGCAAGCTTAGACAGTTTGGCAAAGTATCCTTATTTGGTCATTTTCGATACTCTTTACAATACAACCATAAAAAAATTGGTGCGAAATTCCGTTAAATATGCACGATATCAGAGTAATAACATACACGGGTTTACTTAATTCTTATTCAAATATGAATTTCAAATCTACTTTTGTACATTACAAACTACAAAACTTTCAAACAGATATGTAAGTTACAATTCAGAGTTAAAAAGCGACGCCAGTTGCTAAATACCTAGCTTCGTTCATAGAGGATAGTTCTTGCCACGAAAACCGCTTGAAATCAAAACACTCGACAGTATTTAAGCATTTTAACCCGTGAGTTGCGCCTCCTATTGCAACTATAGAATTTCCAAGAACGGCTGCTACGCAGCCTCGTCTGAAATAAATCATGTCTGGTAATACCTCACTTAATTGAGTCTTAATATTATACATTACAACGGTTTTTAATGGCTTATTGTGTGCATTAATGCCTCCTATAATAATAATATTATCACCCCAACGGACTGTTGCCATTTCACGCACACCAGCAGAAGGCACTGGCGCCAACCGCTTCCATTCGTTCTTTGAAATATCGTACAAGAAAACATTACATACTCGACTTCGGTATGACCAAGAGCCGTGAATGCCTCCAACGATTACAAGTTGATCACCAAACAATTGAACACTATGATGCGACATTCCATCTGGTAACCTAGTCAACAAGTTAGACCGATAAGGCGGGACAAGCTGGGTTGTATAGATTTCACTGGAAACTGCACCATTCTCATAGCAGCCTCCTATAATATACAGATGATCATCATAAACAACGCCACACTGTCCTCGCAATTTGGTAGGTAGCGGAACGCCAAACCGAGTCCAGTTTGCCGATTTGATTCCGATATTTCGTCTCACCATATTGTCCGACACACCAGAACTGGTCCGCCCACCGCATATGATTAGTTGATTATGGTGAAGTGCGGACGACGCTTCATAAACGCTTGTCTCAATTGTCTGCATCGCTTGCTCCTTCGACCATGCCCCGGTTGATAGGTTGAACGTCTCTACGGATCCCAATTTCTTGCCATTAATTAAACCTCCTGCAATAATTACGTTCAACGTTTCGTTGTTATTCTCAACAATTTTATTCTCTGCATTATTAAGTAGTGGCACTTTACTTTGTTGATCACTTTCCAGCCTTGATAACTTTGCGAGCGGTTCAGATATAGCGGTAAAACGAGTATTCATTTTTTGATGATGTTCTTGAAGTCGACACTCGATTGCTTCCAAACGGTTTAGTTTGGCAGTGAAACCATCCAGTCTGTTACCGACTTCCGCAGACAAATTACTCTTAAAGGCGTCGAGTTTTGTAGCTGCTCCGGCAAGCTTCAACGTCGACGTCGCTAACGTGGTCAACGTCGACTCCATTTTGTTCAACTTGCTGTTCACGACCGTTAAATTCGTTCTAAGTTCACCAACCTCTTGGGTCAATTGTTCACAATTATGACATTTGGCTATTCGTCGATGGCAGATCGTGGTCTCATGATAAACTAATTCACTTCTGTTGACTACCGACAGGCAGCCTTCGTTTGAACACACTGCTGGTGCGAAACCACAATCATTAACGTGCCTTTCGAGATCGTCCAATTTAATGTACTGACTGCAACCACGTGGATAAAAATCACAACGCATTCTCAATTCAGAAAGGTAATCGGTTAAAATCCGCGGAGCATCGCTAAGTGTATCGACAGTTAGTTGATCCATACAAACTGGACATGTTTGAAAGTTCATAAGATGTCTAGTGATACAACCACGACAGAACGGGTGTTGATTCCGACGACACATAACTGGATCTTTGAAGACATTCAAGCAAATGGCGCAATGAAATCGTCGACTCACAGCAATTTCAAAACGTTCGACTGGATAGCCGAGCTCGTAACAGTCGGCCATTGACGTGTGCTGGGATATTGTTTACATTGAACCAATTCTTTTACACATTTCAGATTTAATCTTGCCCATACGAACGGCACAAATAGTTCTTGTCATTACTTACTAATCAAATGATTTGAGATCATTCTATAAACAACAGTAGAATGCCATTTCGTGTGTGATTTCAATTTTCAAGCTACTTCTGTACCTTCTAGACGGAGTTGCATTACAATATGTCAATACGATGAGATATATCGCCCAATTTGCATATGATGAAAGGGATGTTGACATTTGAAAGGCTAATTAATTTAAAGAACGAGAACATTTGACATTCTACGAAACCCGGACCCGGACCTGGACTCAAGAAAAAAATAACTCAATTTTTGGACTAAAAAATTATTGTAAGAACATGACGGAAATTCTTGGAAATTCAGATCATGTGGAAAGTGTAAAAGCATTCGAAAATATTATTCCATACGATTGTGCCGCATGATTTAAACATATAGTCTTTCGTGCATCTACTAAATATATTTGGCGTGGAAAATATTTTAAAAATCCGCCCGCCAGCAAGACCCAGCATGGATTGTTTTTTCTTCTACTAGTGATAAACGTAACTGGGATATTTTTACATGGCCTTTTGGGTAAAATAATCAAAATTCTAAATCATAAAATCAAACCCATAATTACAATGATGCAAGCTGACATGTGTCTGCCTTAGCCTAGGCTTGATATTTTATGAGAGAGAGTGTAATAAGAAAGACCGCTTACGTACGCAGGCTTTGTGTGCGCTTTTTAGCTAAGCATTTTTGAATCGCATTTCAGAATCTGACGCTGCAAAAAAAAATGTTGACGTGCGCTAAAGTAATTAGCAGCATATGCCCTAAACTATAAGTATATAACCTAAACCAATGAGCTGAATAGTTCAAATGTCGTTCCGTTCTCGGCAGTGAATATATACATGTAAAGCTGGAGTGAAATTGAAGCCAATATTTAAGGTGGGTAGTGGACACGACTAAGCTCACTGCGGAATAGACAAAATGCGCATGCATGACAATTGTCAATTAGATGTAAATTAACCAATTCAGACCACGTATCAATACCACTCAATACAGATTCTGCTAAGGCGCTGCTAGTTTGGTTAATCCACATGCCTTACGAAAGCCTGGATTAAGGCTGGATAGGACAAATCATGTAACCAAACATTAGAAGTATGTATACTAAAGCGGTTTTATACAACACAGTGAACAGGTCAACAAGCCTCAGTGCATAGACCGATACATTGACCAAATAAAAGCTTTGACACTATTCAAAACTCATCTAATATGTCGATAGATCGAAATAGACGACAGAAATATTTTAATACATGTATTATACAACAACTAATGTATTCATGATATTTAATATCAAGATATGGCAATAATGCAATTAATTATGTTAATGCATTTAAGTTCTCTTTATAGGCCTGTTTTAGGGACGGACCATTTGATTTTTCATGGGGGGCGGGGGGGCGCAAATCCGAAAAAAAATATCGAGCATGTCTCGAATGGAAGAAAAAAAATCGAACATCACTAACACCAGCAAAAAAAAATATCGAGCACAAAAAAATTCTAAATTAGCAATAATCTATATTGAAAGAAAAATTCAGTTTCCCTTAGTTTTTTTCTGTTGAGTGTTTCGGTTCTGCCTTGGTTAACAATACCGGAAGTATACATGCAAAATACAAACCAGTTCTAACAACTTTGACTTCAATAATTCAATTATCCACATTAATGAGGGTGGGAAAGGGGGGGGGGGGTT